GTGTATGACCGATTGAGACCATATGCGGAAACAAATAGTTTGGGATATCAATGTGGTTTCCGCAGGCAGAAGTCCACAATAGATCAGATCTTCGTCTTGAGGCAAATCTTGGAAAAGATTAGTGAATTTAATATAGACACACATCATCTTTCATTGACTTTCAGAGTGCCTATGATAGCATCCATCGAGAGTTTCTGATCCATGCACTGAAAGAGTTTAATATACCAACTCAACTCATTGATATAGTAAAAGAAACACTTAAAGTACAAAGCAAAATTCGAATTCACAACGAACTAACAGATACAATCCATGTGAGAACGGGCCTACGACAGGGAGATGCCCTATCCTGTATTCTATTTAACATCACATTAGAGAAAATAATTAGGGAGTCAAAAGTCAACACCAGAGGAACAATAATAACAAAAAGTGTACAAATATTGACATTTGCAGATGATGTTGATATCATAGCTAGAAGCGAAAGAAAGATGATATAAGCATTTAATGCGATAGAAAGAGCGACACAAAACAGTGGCCTAAACATTAACGAAATAAAAACCAAATACATGAAGGCCAGTAAATCGACAGGCCAAAGAAACCTACAGAATCTGACAATACGAGACTATAACATCGAAAGCATGAAAAGTTTTACATATCTAGGTTCACTAGTTACCGCAGATAACAATATCAGTGAAGAAGTTAAGAGAAGAATACATATCGCTAATAAAACATATAATGGACTAATTAAACATCTAAGATCTAACAACATCACAAGAATAACCAAATGCAAAATAGACAAGACCCTGATAAAACCTGTCCTTGTATATGGATCAGAGACGTGGACACTGTCGAAAAACGATGAGAACCTATTAGGTACATTTGAACGAAAAATACTTATACTTATATATAAGGGGGTAAAGGAAAATGACATATGGCGCAGAAGATATAACTTTGAACTATACACAGCATACAATGAACCCGAGATCGTAACATCCATAAAGATCGGACTTCTGCGCTGGATGGCCATTTGAACGGATGTTGGAGGCTGAAACGCCAAAACATATAACGAGGCAAACACCAGTAGGGAGAAGGTCAAAGGGAAGACCCAAACTTAGATACATGGAACAAGTGCAACAAAATCTGAAAACACTTAAGATTACCAACTGGAAAAACAAAGCAAAGAACAGAACAGAATGGCGGCAAATCCTAGAACAAGCCAGGACCCAGAAAGGGTTCTCAAGCTACTGATGATGATATGCTAACACATTGTTACATCGATCCTAAGAACGAATTAATTTTGAAGATAAAAAAAAATAATATGTTACCAAACTATACAGTTTTTCGTAATTATTTCATTTTGCACATATTAGCCAAAATTTGTTAGTAAATGTTTTATTAATAATAAATTTATTAGTGCTAAAGAAAAAAAAGGAAATACTGTCGTCTCGGAATGAATTGTAGGGTCTTAAACACCTTCAGATCCTCGGACGCTCTGTAGAGGGCTTCGGATATAACAGTCGAATACTCCTCTACCAAGTCCATTTTTGGGGTATGGACTTGTAATCTATTTATATTCGGTGTCTTGCCTTGAAAAAAACAAGATATTTCTTACATGACAATTCTTCGTCGAATTAAAAACACCAAATTATAGTTAGCGGATGAACAGCAGGGTTTTCGCACAGGAAGATCGTGCACAGATGCAGTATTCATCATAAAACAGATTATTAAGAAAGCACTAGAGTATAACAGACCAGCATTTATATGTCTAATAGACCTGAAGAAAGCGTTCGATAAAGTGAAGCTTAAAGATGTAATTCACCTTCTTTACGATAGAGAAATTCCACTAAATGTTATAAAAACAATAAGAACATTTACCAGAACAACAATATGGAAGTCAGAATAGATGACCAGCTTATAGATCCAACAGATATGGGCAATGGAATAAGACAAGGAGACTCGCTTAGTCCAACGCTATTCAATCTAATCATGGATGAAATCATCAATACTAATAATAAAGGAAGAGGATACAAAATGGGGAACAAAGAAATCAGAATACTCTGCTATGCAGATGATGCGGCCCTAATTGCATCCAATGAAGACGATCTACAAAGACTAACCCATAGATTCAACACAAGGGCAAAGGACTTTAATATGGTGATCTCTACACAGAAAACTAAAACAATTGTAATCAGTAAAGAACCAATTAGATGTAAACTGGAAATCGATGGTATCAGCATTGAGCAAGTAATGGAGACAAATTACCTAGGAATTACACTGTCTAGCTACGGAGATGTGGAGAAGGAAGTGAAAAATCAAGTACAAAAGGCTAATAAAATAGCAGGTTGTCTTAATAACACGATATGGCGCAATCCCCACATTAATACCGACGTGAAATGAAGAATCTACAAAGCAACAATAAGACCAATAATGACATACACTTCAGAGACAAGACCGGATACCTCCAAAACTCAGCAACTACTAGAAACAGCGGAGATGCGTTTACTGAGGAGAATTACAGGAAACACACTGAGGGATCGAATGAGGAGTGAAGAGATCAGAAGAAAATGCAATATACCAGAAATAAATGAGTGGACACTGAACAGAAAAAAGGAATGGAACGAACACATAAACAGAATGGAGGAGACCCGATTAGTCAGAATAGCGAGGGACAAATCACCAAAAGGTAGAAGAAGTATCGGGCGACCACGCAAAAGATGGAGTGATAACCTCCAATAGCATTAATCGACATTGAACAAGCATTTTGCTTATAAAAAAGAAGAAGAAGAAGAAATTATAGTTGAACACTTCTCAGCCCCAGGGTATGGAAAATAACAGGAAGCAGGGCCCCTACAGCATTAAGCTCTACGAGAACCCGTGAGGAACCGACCTGGCTGACCTGAAAATTTATAATATTTCTATATGCTATTCGAGCGATAAATAGGGATTTTCGGGTCAATAGCCAATGGGAAAATTCAAGGCGGGGCAATGCGCATCGAAGTGCGTACTAGTAATATTTATTGACAAAAAAATACAAGTGGAAATACACAAGAAAATACATAAATGTATAAAAATACAAGTAATATTCATAAAAATGTTTATCAAAATTCACAACACTGCATAGAATAACTACTTACAGGGGGAGGTCGGTGGTGGTGACAGCATCCCTGGATCCCTTTTGCCATATCCAATGGGGTTTCATAGGCTACTGTGCCTAAGCCTGGCTCGTCAATGGTCTGCCTGTCTGCACAATGAAGGCATCTGGTTTGCAGAAGGTCTCGCTGTCAGTATGTTACCATGGGTGTGCTTATATCGGATGGTTCTCTCCGCTGTCTTTTTGATTCCGACACACGGTGAATTCTTCTGTGTGCTTTCTGTGCAGGTGAGCGTGGGTTCAAAAACCGAATTGGGCGCCAAGTCGTTTTGTCTGGGATGAGTTGTAAGGGTCTTATCACCTTCAGAATCCTCGGACGCTCTGTAGAGGGCTTCAAATAATGCCATCGAATACTCCTTTACCCAAGTCCATTTACGGGGTATGGACTTGGAAAATGTTTGTCTTTGGTGTCTTGCCTTGAAAAAGGCAATATATTTCTTAGTTTTTTTGAAGTCTCCTGAATGATATTTAATATTTTTCATACGACTTAAACATAGCAATTAACACACACATAACTTTTAGGTATAAACTATTTGTACTCAACACTTTGATCCTTCTAAAATAAAAGGAAATTATAATTTTTGCTTACAATTTGTTCTTAGTACTTATCGACCTAATCACTACTAACAAATTCCTTTTGTTTATTTATATCCGTCTTTACTGGAACCTTAAACAAAGAACTAACAATTATTGTATATCTAATACTTTAGTTTAAGAACTATTAAAATTTTTCAGTATAGTTGCTCCCAAGGTTCACTAAATTTGTAGAATATCAAGCGCAAAACTTTCCTTACTACGAAAGTAACTATTCAACTTTTTACTATTTTTCTATGGTACTATTTTTCTAAGATCAGCCAATAATATATACATAGATCAGATGGGAACAAGTTTTAAAAACGAGTGCGGAAGGCACAGCTAGTTTTTGAATCCTAACACGAATTTAATACATGTCAATACTTGTATACAGGGTTAGGATAAAGTATAGAACTAACCAAATATCTATGAAAAAGAGATTATTTCTGAAACTTGTAAATGTAAATACATATATGTGACGCCATATTTTTTGTTATTACTCTACTTACTCTAAAACCATCAACTTATTTAATCTAATTGGGACACACTATATATTTTAGCAGATTTTAAAAGAACTTGTCATTCCTAATTAACACATACCAAGTTTGGTAGAAAAAAGTTTACTGAAATTGTAACGTCAGCATCTATCCTTTACATGTAATTGATGTCACAATTTCGAAACACTGCACTACGGTACCTGTTGTCTATTTAGTTTAGACAGGAGTCTGTGTTTTTACTCCTAGCAAATAAATGAATAGGCTGCTAGCAAATAAATGAATAGGCTTACAGATTGCGAAGCTGTTAACTTTTGCGAACATTTTAAACATTTATAGTGATTTTTTTAATTATTATTCTCATTGGTCTTACTAAATAAATTTAGTAATTTATTTCTCGTTTAAGCAAATTTTTCTATCAAACTTGGTCTATGTGAAGTATAAATAACAAATTCTTTAAATATGTTTAAAAAATATACAGCGTGTCCCATTTAAATAAAATAGGTTGGGGGTATTTCCGGTGAAACCGGAAGTAGAGTAGTAAGGAAAGGTATGGCGTCATATTCGTTATGTGTCATTGTATTTGTATGCAAAGTTTCATGAATGGTGTATTTTTTGTTTCAAAGATATTCAGTTGGTTCCATATTTTATCCTAACCCTATATTAGTTACAATGTAAATAAGAATCTTGTATTTAGCTTTTATTTAGTTTTTATTTATTAAGATAAACACATTTTTCTAAATTATAGTAATAACTTAATTAGCTTAAATAATGCATTGCCTTAGGACTACCAACAGAATGTGGGACACCCAACGGAGATCCTGGCTGGTGTATAGAGATTCAAGACTGTCCAATATTGCTTAAACAGATATCGAATGTAGATGCAAGACCATTTTTGCTTGCTTCAAGATGTGGACCGCCAAATGAAGATTTACATAGACCTAAAGTATGCTGTGGAAAGTATGACAAGTACCAGGATCCGTCATTAGGTAAAACTGTTTTTTTTTGTTTAGTTTAGAGATAAAGATTCCGCCAACATAAAAAATTTACACCTGTTGCTGTTACTAATCCCTCAATTATCTTTGCGGCGGGTGGCAATACTAAACCGATCGCTTTATACGTTTTGGAACAGTTTGCTAAGACCATACTTTCTATTATTTACAGAACTATAATTTGTTAACTGCCAGTGCAAATAAATTAATAAAATGAAATTATCTTACATAATATTGTGTTTTTACAGCATAAATTCGACCATGTCATCATCATCATTGGCTCGATAATCCATGGTGGGTCTTGGCCTGCTCAAAGATAAGTCTTCATTCTCTCCTATTCTTCTCTGTGGTTTTCCAATTGTGTGCTCCCAACATTCTCAAGTTTTCCTCCACATGATCCTTAAATCTTGCTCAGGGTCGTATTTTTGAATGTGTTCGAATTTACTCGCATGCGATTAGTTCGAACGAAAAAAAAATCATGCACGAACGTAAAAGCGTATTTTCGAACGCAATTCGAAAGTTTAATTCGCATACGAGAATCCGTTAATCCAAATTCACCGGCAACGCCGCAAATTCGCACGAAATTAATTAAAAAAGAGGTAGAGGTGACAGGCGGTATTTATTTGACTGACAAGTTTATTTTACTTGTTGCAGCAGACTTGAAGTTTTTTAGTTTTTTGTGATTTGCTTAATTTTCTACACAGTGTTAACGTGTTTTGGCTTGTGTTTTCGTACTTATCTGTTTTCTCTGTTTCCAATATGGACAAAGAAAATAAAAATTCCATGTTCAGAGGATTTGTATCTTCCGAACAAAAAAAAGAACTGATAGATCATATGGAAGAAAATCCCGATTTAAAAAGTGGGAAATTTATAAACAATTTTACATATAAAACTGCCCAAACAATGTGGCAGAAATTAGGCCAAATATTAAATGCTTTGCCAGAAGCAAATAAAGAGTGGAAACAATGGGGTAAGGTAAGTAACGAAAGCAAAATGTAGATAAGTATAACTTGATACCTATTGTAACATGCATAAAAAGTAAAAAATAGCCCCTTGTAATGTTTGTCCAAGCCCAAATTGTTTGTCTGATAAGGCTTCAAGAGGGTTTAAAAATGTATGGTATACTCTATTCTCCACATTCGCTAACATTTCTGCATCTTCTAAGGCATTTAAAACATTTCTTTCAATTAAAAAATTTAGGCCGGCCATCTCACTTATGTAAACAATTAAAAACCAAACTCAAAATACGAATCATCGATTTTCGTTCGAAATTCATAATTTTTCGCATACGACTTCCGTTCGAACGGTTTCGAAAATACGTTCCCTGGGTCTGCCTCTACTTTTCAGTCCATATATTCTTTGGTTATAAATATGTTCTGGCTGCTCCATCTCATTCATTCTCTTTATGTAACCTAACCACCGTAGCCGGTTTATTTTGATGGACCTAATAATATCAGGTTTGTCATACAGGCGGTAAAGTTCGGAATTATAGCGTCTGCGCCATAATCTGCCCTCCTGTACTCCTCTATAGGGAGAGAACATTTAAAGTACATTTAAAGAATTCATCTCTGATTCTTAGTGTGCATAATCTTTCGTTGAGAGGTTGGAAGTCTATTATAAAGTGCTTTACTCTCTTATTGACCATGAATCTCGTTCATAGTTTGTGTTCTGTTGGATGGCAGCTATAATATATCTTATAATTATTTTTCTCTAATATTTTATTTTGCAACCATTTCCTGAAGTACAATTATATCGCTCTTATATACTTCTACACTGTTAATGAGAAACTGCAAGGCTCCTGGCCTGTATAGAAATCTTACATTCCACGAGAATAATCCTTAATCATTTTCCTTTCTCGCGCCGAGTTGTCATCTAGATTTCAGTCCGGAAACTTTACCTTGAATTCTCGTAACATGCTGTTTTTTTACGGTGTCGAGGTGTTAACCCTACGCCCAATTCCCAACCTGGAGGACCAGTTCACCCGTTCTCGTCAGTTTCCGACCCAACTTTCCACCCGGGTTGGATACCGGATCTCCAGTTGGGTTGCTCGGTTTAACAGGAGGCAGCAGCGTGAAAGTAAGAGACGGATTTTAGTAGGAGAGACTAAGTGGTAAACTGGAAGCAACTCAATGTTTTTGCATTCTATCCCTTTACCCCCCATTAGACCATGTAGTTCAGAGTTTTTTTATATCAACTCGTGCATCCGCCTCTTTTGTTTGAAGCATTTTGAGTAAATTCATGTTTAGTTTGAACTTATACAGGAAGTTGTAGATTACTACATTGAGGAATTTGCATGCACATATTTTCTTTGAATTTTAAAACTTACATTTTGGTTTGGTTGATGCTATTGAAATAATTAGAGCATTCACCAGTGAAGTACCAGTAATCATCTCAAATGCCACTTTTTTGTACCTTTTGACAGATTTCCGTAAGCAGTTTGAGTATGCTGTCTTTTGATCTGACATGTCCACAAACACTTTTGCATTATTGCACTTGACAATGGCTGTAGGTTTTCTTTTAGGACCTTCCCTATGCGTTACCTATATCATATCGTCTTTATGTTTTGTAGTCACAAAAAGTACGTCTCTCTGGTCATGCCATTTCACAACTACAATATCATTTTTGTTTTGTTTGACAATGATCTCTCCTTTCTTGAGTTTCGCTTCTACAACATATTTGGAAAGATTTTTTCGGTTTGTACTCAACGTTCCAATAAGTTCATCTAATTTTTAAAATTGTAGCAGGGTTAACCGATGTATATCAGTTGTCCGTAATAAGAGTCCTACCCTGAATAAATAAAGGTTATACATTTCCCTTACTACCCTTTCAGCTACCGGTAGTCTATTAATTTTTTCTTTAGCGCAATATATTTTAATTGTATGTTTATAGCCTTCTAACTGGATTTACCAAAGGTAGAGGCACTCGAGAACACCTGCTGAATATAAGACAGATAATCGAGAAATCTAGGGAATTCAACATCCCATTATACATCTGTTTTATAGATTACCGTAAAGCGTTCGACAGGGTCAAGTGGAGACACTTATGGCGAATACTAAAAGAAGTAGGCGTACCACAACATCTAATTACGCTTATAACTGAACTATATGAACACACTACTGGATCATTTAAAGTACTTGACACACTTTCGAACGAGTTTTATCCAGAACGGGGTGTCAGACAAGGATGTATACTATCTCCACAATTATTCAACATATATATGGGGAGTATATTGTGCGAAGAGCACTTGAAGGATGAGAAAAGGACATCTCAATAAATGGTCATAAACTAAACAACCTACGTTTCCCAGATGACACAGCCCTTCTTGCAAATAGTCAAGCAGAGCTGATGGAACTTATACGACTGATCGAAAACGAAAGTCAAATATTTGGTCTGCAATTAAACATATCAAAGACAAAGATCATGATAGTGGATAGACTACACAACAATCATCCACACATAACCACAATTGACCGGTTCGAGGTTGTGAGCACATACTTATATCTGGGATCATTAATCACAAACACAGGGTCATTACAAGAAGAGATTAAACGTAGATGTGATCTAGCAAAAGTTACCACAACAAAAATGACCAAAATATGGAAGGACTGTCAATTTTCAAGAGCGATAAAGATGAGGTTGATCAACTGCTAATATTCCCAATACTGACCTACGGATGTGAATCTTGGACTCGGAGACAATCGGAGAGAAGAAAGATAGACGCCACTGAAATGTTCTGTTGGAGACGAATGTTACGAATTCCTTGGACCGACCGTAGAACAAATAATTCAATTTTAAGAGAGCTAAAAGTTAGCCAACGATTCTCTAGTAAAGTCCATTTTCAACAATTAAAATATTTTGGTCATGTTATGAGAGCAAACACAGAAAACATGGAAAGACTCATAATACAAGGAAAGGTAGAAGGCCGAAGATCACGAGGAAGATCCCCAACAAGATGGATAGATCAAATTACAAGAATATGCCAAAGACCTATGCATGAATTAAAAGGAATGACCAGAGACAGAGATCTCTGGAGACGGACAATACACGACATCACGTCGACCACTATACTTCCCCTGGGGGGTCAGGATTGAAGAGAGAGAGAGCCTTCTAACAAACAAATTTTACACAGCTTTATTCCAAACTTATGATGTTTTCCTTTCACGTACTGTTGAAAAGATAACTTGCCTCTAAATGGGATCATAGTTTAATCAATGCAAACAGTTGAGGCTATAATCACACATCTATGAAAATTACCGTTCATTTCGTTGACCAGACATTGAATTTTATGAATCTGTCATTTTCAGAACCCTCGTCATTGTTTGCTAGATCAAACATGCGCAGGAGTAATTCAAACCGATTTCGAGGCATATATTTAGCAATATAATATAGCCTTTATATACTAAAATTTTGGGCCAGTAATCAGCTAATGATGGCTTTGAGTCTAGTTCCATCTAAAGAAGGAGCGCTATGAATGTACGCTTTTCAGTGTAGTTAGTCTCTTTCTAATAATTAAAATGTGACTCTCTAGTAATTGTTTCATTAACTATTCCAGTAAGAATTTGTTGCTCTGCATACATATTTGTTCCGAGGAAAATCATATTTATAACATCTTCAGAGAAAATAGTTTAAAGAATAACAGTTCATTCTTTCATTTTCCGTCATTTCGTTTTTCAAATGGTCAGGAATGCCAAAGTTCAAAGGACAATCTAAAAATAGAAAATTTCCGCAAACAGGTCCCCAGTTGAAAATAAGAACTTTTAAATTTTATAAAAATTTAAATTTAGATTTATTAAAATTTATACTGGTGTATGTAGTACAGCTCTAGCTTACTCTTTCACAACAAAATAATGGAAAATTCCTCAAAAAAATTATTAACTTACATAACTTCGAAACTTACTTCGAAATAATTATACTAGTAGTCTTCGTTTTATAGTAATTCAAAAAATTATTTTTAGACGATATTAATGTTTTTCCCAAACGATGTGGACACCAAAGACTTATTATGAAATCAAGAATCCTTGGTGGTACGACAGCATCTATTGGAGAATTCCCTGGATGGTGCGACTTATTCATCAAAACGACCATGGGTATAAAACGTTTGGATGTACAGGGTTCCTAATTCATACCAAATATGTATTAACGGCAGCTCATTGTGTTCATGGAAAATTTATCAAATTCAGAGGACCAGTGTATGTATTAATTTTTTGGCGAAAGCAATTTTTTTTGGATTTTACTAAAAACTATCAAATAAAAAATTGATCTGTATGTCTCATCAAATATTCGCTCCGTGCGTGACTGACGCGACACCTACTGCCTTCATCTGACAATTTTGGACCTCCCAATTTTCAGGTTAAACATATGACATAAGTTTGACATTGTTAAATACATTCAAAATTGACAATTATTAATAAATTAGTTTTTTAACTATATTGTTTCAGTTTATGTGCAAAATAAATGTAGTAATAAAAACTGGGTTTCTCAAAATTCATCATAATATATCTTTTCAACTCCAAACGGAAAAGAAACGGAAAAATCTAGTACTGGCAAATCAAGTTTTTCACGCAAAAGAGCATATAATTAAAAACAATAATAGTAAAAGTTGTGATATAAAAGTTAAACTCATCTGCAGTTAGCTTGAAGCCTTACGAAATATCATTCAAGGTAAATTATTTAAGTTTTTCCTATTTCAATTGCATAAAAATGAAATTATGTGATATTTACTTTTTCATATTAATAGTACGAATTCATCTTTTTCTTTTCTCTAATTTATATGTAATCTTTGGGAACCTATAAAAACTACACTCACTGTTTTTGCTATTATTGCACATTAGTGCAATTAAATAGGCAACATGTATTTGCACACATTTTTCATAAAATTTATGCGTAAAAATATTTTTTCCAATATTCCAATTTTGTCATATTTCGCCGCTACGCACGCTGGCATCGTTTCAATGTACCCCTACCATGGTCATGCACGGAGCGAATAAGTATAACATATTAAATAGTTATATTTTTTTAACTATTATTAGATAATAAACCAATTACCCTGTTTTATTGCAAAAGTTTCTAGCGTTCGAAACTTTACTTGTTTTTATTATACAATCCTTGTTTAAATTTAGAGAATTACATTTAACCAACCAATATGCTGAAATTCGATAGTTTCTATAAACAGTAATTTCCATTTTAGATTTCTTATCCAAATGGGAGAACACAACACCGAAACCACAGTTGATTGTAATCCCACGGGGACTTATTGTGCGGATCCCCTTCAAATTAGCCGAGTTGGCCAAGTAATCGTACACCATGGATACGACGTCTACTCTGCCGGCCACTATAATGATATAGCCCTTATTCATTTAAAAAAGGCAGCTAGAATTACAGGTAAGCAAATTACTACAAAAAAAAAGGAATTTTATTGATAAAAACCTTTTAGAGAAGGTGTTGAGTTCGGTTAATTAAAGGTACCAGACAAACATCAATGGGATTAGCTTTTATGCTGTAGAAATACTTTTTGTAAATGTTGATTAACATCGGTAGCTTTATGTTATTTTTTATTTTTATTACAAACGTTTTTATATTATATTAAGTGACGCGTGGATATTAGACAGGGTGTTCCATTCAGAAGTTGCACGTTTATTGAGGTTATAAAGAACACAGGGCTAAATCACATATTAAAGGGTAAGTGCATATAACCAATAACCTAAGATGTACAAATTTATATAACAATTTAAAAACGTGATAAAACGATTGTGTTAAACGCATTGTTCTCATTCGCATATGTAAAGAGAGCAATAACCGGTTATGTCTGTTGGCAATCATCTTCTTCTAAATGTACCTATCTTCTAGAGATATTGGCGACCACATTGACCCATCTTATTCTATTCACAGCAGCTCGAAATATATCAGTTGACGTTAGACCAGTCTATTTCCTAAGATTGGCCAGACATTATATACGTCTAGGTCAAGGGCCTCTCTTGGCCTCAATCTTGCCTTGTAGAATCAACTCTAGAAGTCGGTATTTATCAATACGTATGATGTAGCTAAAGTGAGCCAATTTTCTGTTTTTATGGTGTTAATAATTTCTTTGTAATTCCTTAGCCTCCGGAGAATAGTTCTGTTACTTGTGTGGTGTATATACGAGACCCTCAACATAAGTTGGTAGCACCACATTTCAAATGCCTCCAATCGTTTTATGGCATCTTCTGTAAGGCTCCAGCTTTCTACTCCATAGAGTAGGACACTAAAGACGTAACATCTAAGAATTCTTATGCGTATATTAATATTTAAAGATAAATTGCATATATTACAGCCCAAATAGCATGTTTTTTTCACCCTTTCTCACGGTGTATCATCATCCAGCCTAAAGAGTCCACTGCTGAACATAGGCCTCTTCCTCATGTTTCCAACCCCGTCTATCTTGCGCCGCTCTTATCCAGTTTTTATTGAGTCTTCTTAAATCGTCAGTCCATCTTGTAGGTGGTCGACCGACGCTTCTCTTGTCTTCCCTTGGCCTCCATTCCAATAACCTCTTTGTCCATCGCCCATCGCCCATATCTATCTTCGTATCTTTGAATAATTCTTGCATATATTCTTTTCATCTTCGCAATTTATCTTCAATGGTAGTCAAAATTTGACCTTTAATGTCTACAACTATGCCTTATTGCCTTGTTTTCTGGTGTTCTGTACCTCTTTCATTTTTTTGTGCATATGGAAATTGTCATATTTGCGTTATAGTATTTTATTTTCCATACATTTTTCCATCAGCCATGCTTCTTTTGCTCCTTTTATCTCCTTTAGTATAGTCTTATGTAACTTTTTGTATTCGTTGTTATTTCTACCTTTTAATTTTCTTCGCTCTTTCATCAACTGCAGTATTTTATTTGTCATCCATTTATGCTTGTTTTCTCTTTTAATTTTAGGTATTCATGCGAAATTGTAGTAAGAGATGTCTTCATTTCGTTCCACTGTTCTTCTATGCCTCTAGTAGTGTCTTCAACTATTTTCGAAAAATTCTTATTAATTTTTGTTTTTACTTTTTTCTGGATATCTTGTCAGAATCAAGGTTGGAGGATGCACTCGCAAACCAGTTGAATGGAGACCAAGAGCCGATAAACGTAGCAGAGGAAGACCACGAACACGATGGCAAGACGACTTAACAAGACAACAAAAAAACTGGATACAGCAAGCACAAGATAGATAAGCACAACAGTTTGAAGACAAACAGGGGAGGCCTATGTCCAGCAGTGGATTAAGAGAGGCTGATGATGATGATGACTTTTTTCTGGGTGTCATTTTCTTTTAGTAGTGTTATGTCTATCTTGGGTCTTATTTTTTTATGAATTATTTTGATGTCGTATGTTGATATTTGTCCTAGACGAGACAAGATCCCACATCGCCAGCTACGAGAAAGAACAGGAGTGGCTGACGCAGTAAAGAGAGAGTAGCAACACTAAAATGGAACTGGGCAGGTCACGTGGTTCGAATGACAGATAATAGATGGACAAAGCGGATACTGGAATGGAGACCAAGAGATGATGCCTACCGAAGCAGAGGTCGTCCACCAACACGTTGGACTGACGATCTAAAACGTTGTTAGCAGATGGAAAATTGTGAGGGAGATCTATGTCCAGCAGTGGATAATCGAAGATTAAATAATGATGATGATAGAATTTCTAAACCTTTTGTTTATGTTGATAAAATCAATTTGGTTTCTTATGATTTTCCCTGGGGTCACCGGGTGCTGTCCATGTATAAAGACTTCTTAGATGTAATTTAAAAAGTGTATTCGTTACAACCATATCCGTCTCTCAGCAGAATTGGATTAGTCTTTCTCCTCTTTCGTTTCTTATGCCAAGACCATATGAACCCACGACATTCTCGACTGTACCTTGTCCTATGTTGGCATTGAAATTGCCAATAATAATATTAAGTTCATGTTTTTTGGTAATTTTCAGAGAGTCCTCTAGAGTCTGATTTTTTGAAGAAATTTTCTATTTCTTTTTCAGTGAATTCTGATGTCGTTGCATAGACCTGAATGATGTTTATATTAGAGGGACTTGAGTTAACTTTTAATAGCACAACTCTGTCTGATATGGGCATTTTTGTTACTTGTTGTGTCATCTCCGTACTACTAGATATGATGTTCATCTATAATTCTTATTCCAGAATTTGGCCATCTAACTTCACTGCATCCTAAAATATCTATGTTCAGGCGAGTCATTTCTTAAATAGTATTTGCTGCTTTGGTGCTTGGTACATGCATCGAATGTTCCACGTACCAATCCTTTTGACTTTTGTTACATTATTGGCTGACCGGGGGATTCTTAGCAGACTCTCCCCACTTAAGGGATGCCCTGGACTGAGGGCCGTTTGTGACAGTCATCCCGTAGCTTCCACATCTCAAAGTCGTTGGCTAATTTAGCTCTTCCGCCTTTGAAGTTAATTTCTTAGCTCCATGGCAATGAAGTGCCCTACCATATATCAATTTTTCCACCCGGAGCTGTTGACCAACAAATGGGGATTACTTTTACCGGTAATCGTTACTTCGCAGTATCACAACCGGTTAAATCATAATTACCTCCTGGGATTATTCAGTATCAGACCGCTAAAGAGATTTTTCTCTACCGCTCTGATCCTGTAATGACATAGCTGCTGCCCTATGCTATGCTCTCAGTTGATCCGCGGGTGTTTACTTGGCAAAGCTTTATTCACACCTGTCCCACATATCTGTATGGCGTTCCCTATCAGCCATTGGGACGCGCCGTGTTGAGGATGAGGACTATCCAATCATCAATCATCAGACTGTAGTAATTCAGCAACACCGAATAGTTTGTGGTTACCGTTTACATCTGGCATACTTCTATATAACACTTCGAGTGAATCTTTATGAGCCATAGAACATTTATCCCAGATAATAACTAAACTCATTAGCATCATTGCAGACATTACACTTTTTTTATGTTACATAATGCATCTGGTTTGCTATGAACGTCTAATGGCAACTTCAGCACTAAATGTGCTGTTCGCCCACCATCTAACAATTTTCTGAATCACAACTGTAAGTTGCCTACATTTGGCGCAACTGAACGACTGTAAATTATCATAAAATACATTTAAAATATATATCAAATACGATAAAAAATAATATGGAAAATTTTATGTATACTTCATTAGATTTTACCATTCTCAGTAGATACTAAAATTTAACTTTATTTTGAATTATTTTAGTAAATTTATAATTATTAAAATGTATTGAATTGCGTAATGCACAAACTTATATTTTGAACCTTATTGCAGAGAAAATGAACCGTTTTTTTTAATGTAAATTAACAATGTTGAATATTTGAAAATAATTTTAATTCTAATCATACATAATTCTGTCAAAAAATAAAATATTTTACTCTCAAATAAAAATCACATTTTTTAAAACACTTCATATACAACTAATAGAAGTTAATATCTGATCGTATGTATAGTATAAAGCAGGAGTTCCTGCTCTATGAATATCTTTATATTGCTCATCAGATTATATTGTATTTTATAATAATACCTTTGATATATTTCTTAATATATTGCAAATTGTTCTAAAACATTATTCATATCTGACCTAGTTTTGTTTCTATGTACCTAGGTTAATTATTAATGAAACTTCATTTTAATTACATTTAATTTTTTTACAGAATTTGTTCAACCAATTTGTTTACAAATGGACAATATCACTCCAAAACGGTATTCTATAAGTGGATGGGGAAAAACTGAGACAGGTAATATAACAAAACCAGAAAAATTTTAAGATCTTTTCTTTTAATTGAATTTTAAACTCCCAAAGACCACATTTTTAAGCAGTAGTCAGAATAAAGTTCCTTAATTTATGTGATTATCCTTATATAATTAACACAAATTTGGTTTCTTCATATGTAAGAACCTTGTACTGTATACCGAGTTTAATTTTACTTTGATCTTTCACTTACTCAGCTATGGCTACGGTTTCATTCATTTTTTCTTAGGAATAGATCAACTTTAGTATATCCAGTAAAACAGTTGTATCACTGAAAAAATCTGCCCCTCAGGACTCCGGAAAAAGCTAGCAAAAATAGGTTATAATTCCAACAATATGCTAGTCAGTTTTGTTATCACCATTTTTGACCAATATATTATTGGAGAAAACATTAAAAATAATAAGAGTTATACTAAAAAAGGTTGATTACCTTATCAACAAAAACTAAATAATAGAATAACTTATTTTCAACTAGATAATAATCTTTTCAAACAAGATTCTGGATTCGGTATTGCCTCATCTTTGTCTCAATTATTAGTCGATATTTTTTTAAATAATTGATGGATTCGACCGTTACTTGATGGACATTCATTTTATGTAACAATAAAACAATGAAAACTTTGTCTTCAAACTTCCACAAAATTTGTTTTAACTCTTAACCGGATCACCCAATAAGACCTGTAGTTTCTTTTTATACAGTTCCGTCATATAAACTTTCAAAAAAACTGTTACAGATTATTTTAGAACACACTAAATTGTTACTTAAAATTTACCATAAAAAATATAATAGAACTAGTTAATAAAATACAACATTTTCAATTACCTAACAACTCCAGATTAATTTTATTTCATCTTTTTACATCTTCTTAAAGTTTGCATAAACCAGGACTACTTTGAATTTAATAATCAAATATGTACAAATAACAGTGCATGACTTATAATGGGCAATCCTCTAAGCCATTGCTATGAGATATTTTATGGATCATCTAGAGACAAAGATTTCAAAACATCCCGTATATTAATATTAATATATAATATTAATATATTAATTCACTTCATAGTCATATTGTCTTCATAGTCACAGGAATAAGGAAAGCTGAGCAACTCTTTAGAATAGCTCGAGACAGAGACAGTTTCGCCATGTTAATCGCCAACGTCAAGGGGACTTAATAGGGCACGTTAAGAAGAAGAAGTCGTATTGAATTTACAATAGAAACAGAACAAAAACAATTCATAAATTTTTTAGATTTAAAAATTATCAGACTTAAAAACAAACATGACTTTTCCGTATTTCACAAACCTACTCATACTGACACAATTATACACAATTCATCATCTCATCCAACACAACATAAACTGGCAGCATATCGTAGTATGTTACATAGATTAACAGAAATTCCAATGTCAAAATAAAACTTTGAGACAGAATTAAGTATAATTAAGCAAATACCAGTAAACAACGAATAAAACGAACAAACAATTAATAAAATGTTAAATTAAAAACTACACAAGAAAGCCTGAAATTACTATTTCCACCACAGAGTAAAAATCCAGTACCTTCTGCTCGATTACATATACAGGCAAAATATCAACAAACATAGCCAAACACATAAAAAAGAAAGGAATAACACCAGCTTTCCGAACAAATAACAACCTAAGCAAATACATTAAAAAGAACAAGCGCCAAAATAAAAAAACACTTACATAGTGGTGTGTACAAACTTAAATGTGACGACTGCCCAAAAACTTACATCGGTCAAACTGGTAGAAAATTTAATAAACGAATAGCAGAGCATAAAAGGGCTTTCCATAATAGAAAAACAGATTATACATACGCACTTCACCTTCTAGATCATAATCATTCTTTTAATGACAAATTTAAAATTCTTCACATTCAAAATAAAGGCCTTAAGCTATCTTTGTTAGATTCTATGGAAATCAACAAATTAAAAAACACAGATATAATTCTGAATGACCTACTTGAGACAAACAGTTCTCAATTTCATTATTGACAGAGACTATAAAGTGTAAACGCAAGTCAAAAATAGATCACTTGAGAAAGGTAATCAGCCGAAACAGCTGTAGTGATAAGAGTTAAAATAAATTTTGTGGAAGTTTAAAAATAAAGTTTTCAGTGCGATATTTATAAAGGAATTTGACCAAAACATTGTGCATAAACATGACCCGTAGTATAATTCATATATGTAGACGATGTGTTCTCTATTTATAGATACAGGCCAGAAGCGTTAAATAAATTTCTGATGGACAACAATAGTAGATGAAAATCAATCAAATTCACCATATAAATAAAACAACTAACATCGTTTTCTGGATGTGTTAATCACAAATGAGAATATAGGATATGCAACCAAAGATTACAAAAATCAGCCCACAGCAACAGATATTTAAGTTACTACTCAAATCACAACATAAATATTAAAGAGGGAATAAAAAATCCCTAAATTATGATAAAGTTAAAAACCCTACTTTAATGTAAATGCATTTTAAAAAGAAAAAACATGCTAACAAAGGTTTTAACAAAAACCGATTTAAAGCTGTCATTAAAAACGAAAAATTTCACAAGATTGAAGAAAGGTAACAACAAAACATTTTAAGGAATCAAGAAACGCTAACCAGGAGAAATTTAAAGATGAGGACAATACCATATTTATGTAAACGCCTTATCAGAAAAATTAAAAAAGATTGGAAATAAGTACACATTACAACAACATACAAAACAACTACTAACGCACTAAAATCCGCACAAAACCGCACATGACAGAGACAGATGAAAAGAGCTGAGGAAGATATATATCCGGCAGTGGACGCATACAGGTTGATGAGGATGATGAATAAACTGAAATATATTATATTGAAAACCAAATCTAACGACACACAAGAGTACTGAAGCACTGAAGAACTGCTTCTACAAAATACTCAGTCAATGCAAGGACTTTTATGTACGAGACGCCGCAAGACCACTTAGTATCAGTCTTCTGAGCTCCCAGATATCTTCACTACACTGTTAACTATACTTCTGGTGCATCCATCATAGCACTGCACTGCGAATGTTACTAATCTCTTACTCAGATCAGACACGCTCCATATTATATCGAGTTTACATGACTCCAACTGGACTGACAACTCATAATTAGAATTAATAATATTAAACACAATATCCTAGTAACTAAAGTATTCTAATAAAATCCAACATTCCTCAATATATTTAAATAACATTATTGTTGCTGGTTTATTTAGTAATCTAAATAATTTAAAAAAATGTAATTGTTTAGCATGGCACTAATTGAAAATGCCACTGAACTTTTAAAAATCATAAAACAAGTTGAACTTTGCTAAGAATGTCAATTAACCCAAAACCCAAAAAAGAGCCAAAAAAGTTTACCACGGTTTTTCCTTAAAACCCTTCCACGAAGGAGGAGAAAATGAAACAAATCGATTTACCAAGAAATTGTACACATATGACAAAATTGAGGGTTTACCATGGCCTGCACAATTGCCGGATTGAAACCCAATTAAGTATGTATGGGACATATTGGGCAGAAGTATTTTACATCAAAATTTTGCAAAATACAAGACAGCAACTGTTTGAGGGCCTTTCAATGAAGTAGAACAGAATACCACAGCAAGACATTGACCATATGATCATGAGTTTGCCTTACAGATGTAAGACAGTAATCAACAACCATGGAGGTCATACACTATAGTGACAACCTAAAGATTACACATTTGGGAATTGTAGGGCAACAATTGTCTTCTTCTTTAGGTACCACCTTCTGTAAGGAGGTTGGTAATCATCACAGCTATTTTCACTTTTGAGATTGCAGCTCTGAACAAGTCGACGTAACTGCAATTATACCACTTTCTCAGATTGTTGAGCCAGGAGATGCGTCTTCTTCCAATACTTCGTTTTCCCTGTATTTTTCCCTGCATTATGGTTTGTAGCAACACAAATTTATCCCCTCTCATGACGTGGCCGAGATACTGTAACTTTCTTATCTTAATCGTATTGATGATTTCCATTTCCTTTGTCATCTTTCTGAGGACCTCAACATTTGTTATTCGGTCTACCCAACTTATTTTTAATATTCTTCGGTAGGTCCACATCTCGAATGCTTCAAGTGATCGCTCACCTCTTTCTTTAAGGTCCAGGCCTCCACCCCATACGGCAGCACCGAAAACACATAAGAACGTAATATTCTTAATAATAAATAAAACAGAGTGGTTGGTTTACATCCATACATCTTTGCATGATGACGTTAAATCCAAATAATGCCTCTCGTGTACCCATGGCATTCCTAAATCCATATTGGGTTTCAGTGATGTCTTGTTCCACTTTTCTGAAATTCTTAATGGATAATTTTGAAGAATATTTTTAGTGTGTGACTCATTAGACTAATTATACGGTGGTCATTACATTCCCTTGTATTAGGTTTTTTTGTAATGTAATAAATGTTGATTTGAGCCAATCTCTCGGAATAATACCCGTATTATATATAGTATTATATAAGTCTACTAATACATTGATCTGATCTTCTGATATTAATTTAATTATTTCAGTTGGAATTGTGTCAGGTCCCGCAGTTTTATTAGATTTTGCCAGATTTATTCCATGTATTATTTCATCCTTAGTTATATTTGGACCTATATCATGTTCCTCGCAATCATTCATGCTATCTTGTTGTATCCTGTCGTCATCAAACAATTCTTGGACGTATTCTCTCCATCTGTTTAGTTTGACTATGACATCAGATATTATTTTACCATTCCTATCAACCAGGGTATTACTATTGTTGGACCGTCTTATACCTGCTAATTCTTTAATTTTTTGTGCAGTTAAAAACTATCATGATTTCTCTGGAGTTCTTCTATCTCTAAACATTGGTCGTTGTACCACTTTTCTTTAGCTGCCCGTATTTTTATCCTGATCTCTATCCTGATCTTATCTGATTTTTGTTTTTGTATGATCTTCTTTTGTCCATTAGTTGCCGGATCTCATCTGTCATCCATGGAGTCTTAGCTTCATCGATTTTGTGACTACTCATCGTATCTTTAATGGGCATCATTAATGTGTTCTTAAATTTTTCCCATTTTTCGTTGGAATCTTTATTATCATTGATTATTGTTTTGCTTAACTCCTCGTTAATTCTCAACGTTAGTTCTCCTTTTGTATTCGGTTGTTTAGCAGAGTGCTTATTTGTTGTGTCTTTTGTTGTTTTTTTTTCTTTAAGTGGATTTCGAATTTTACGATTACTGGATTGTAGTCTGATGACACATCTGTTCCTGGATATGTATTTGCCGATTTGATGGAGTTACGGTATCTCTTATTGATAATGATATAATCTATCTGGTTTCTGATAATTTTTTCTTTGCTATCTTTAGGTGATTTCCATGTATAATAATTTACGTGGTGGTAACTGAAAAAAATGTATTTTTGTACAACAATTCTATGCAACAATTGTAGAGATTATTTATTTTTTTGTTGCCATTTTTTGACGCATGGAGTTTTTAATTTTCTTAAGAGCTATTGCGATAATCCGAAAAAAAAATGTTTGTTTTATATTCGGGACACTTATTTATAACTTTTTATTAAACATATTTAAAATAAATTATTATTTTAAAGCTATTTTCTTGTGGCATTGTAAATTAATTACTATTTAACTGGGAATAAGCCACAATTAAAGATAAAAATACGTTTATTGACGTTTCAATTTCCACTTCGGAAATCGTTCTCAAAATACAAACAGTAAATTAAACAAATTTTGTTTTTTGTTACATAGTGAAAAATTCTTCTAATAATTTAATTTTATCTGACTCATTTATATTGACAATTCAGACATACATTATGCATTTTAAAGTAGACGACTTTAAAATGATATTGCCAATATTGTTGAGTTGCGCTCCTGGGACGACTTTACTTATAAGATAGTTCATTCGATTACATGAAATCAACTTTAACTTGAGAATATCCGTCAGAAAAAAATCATAGCATGTAATTCGTCTTTAAAAAGACAAACACATGACATGATGACAGTAAAATTCTCCTGTTAGTGATTCCATAGTAAATTATGAGGGAAAAACCAGGAAAAAACCTCATAATACTATCCCGACATTGTAAGTATTTGTTCGTGAATTTAGTTTACCTTCAACAAACATCAAAATTCTGATTTTATATGTTACGTTATTTAAAAAACATAAATGATGTATCCTCTATATGTTACTGACTTACTAATACTGGTATTTTCTTATTAATAACTTCCTCTTTCAATATTGGTAACCAGATCCTACTACATTCTGCCGAAGAATTTGCGACACAATTGGCCTCATTTAACATAATTAGAGCCGCTTCTTTGATTTTTCTTTTTTTACCATCCGTTTCTTTTAGGACTACATTTGAATTACTCCATTGAACCCTATGTTCATTATCTATTATATTATTAAAATACCTTGTGAATGCGATCAGTTTTATTTAGGTGAATCATCAAGGCCATTAAATGTTAGAATAAGTGAACATCAATCTTATATTAAAAATAAAGAATTTGATAGATCTCAAATCTGTAAACACGCATGGGATAATGAACATAGGGTTCAATGGAGTAATTCAAATGTAGTCCTAAAAGAAACGGATGGTAAAAAAAGAAAAATCAAAGAAGCGGCTCTAATTATGTTAAATGAGGCCAATTGTGTCGCAAATTCTTCGGCAGAATGTAGTAGGATCTGGTTACCAATATTGAAAGAGGAAGTTATTAATAAGAAAATACCAGTATTAGTAAGTCAGTAACATATAGAGGATACATCATTTATGTTTTTTAAATAACGTAACATATAAAATCAGAATTTTGATGTTTGTTGAAGGTAAACTAAATTCACGAACAAATACTTACAATGTCGGGATAGTATTATGAGGTTTTTTCCTGGTTTTCCCTCATAATTTACTATGGAATCACTAACAGGAGAATTTTACTGTCATCATGTCATGTGTTTGTCTTTTTAAAGACGAATTACATGCTATGACTTTTTTCTGACGGATATTCTCAAGTTAAAGTTGATTTCATGTAATCGAATGAACTATCTTATAAGTAAAGTCGTCTCAGGAGCGCAACTCAACAATATTGGCAATATCATTTTAAAGTCGTCTACTTTAAAATGCATAATGTATGTCTGAATTGTCAATATAAATGAGTCAGATAAAATTAAATTATTAGAAGAATTTTTCACTATGTAACAAAAAACAAAATTTGTTTAATTTACTGTTTGTATTTTGAGAACGATTTCCGAAGTGGAAATTGAAACGTCAATAAACGTATTTTTATCTTTAATTGTGGCTTATTCCCAGTTTAATAGTAATTAAATTATTATTTAAAACCCTTTCTATTTGATTTTCACTTTTATAGAGGCATTCAGTAAAATCAAGATGAAACTTGAAGTACCGCCATATGGTCGAGCCCAATGTGTAGAAAAGTACAGTGTAGTCAGTATTGAAGTTGCAGAATCTCAAATCTGTGCTGGTGGTGAGGACCAAAAAGACAGTTGTACTGGAGATTCTGGCGGTCCTCTGATGTTCGAAAATGGTACTCACTGGATGGCTGCAGGAATAGTAAGCTATGGTAATAGTTAATTTCAATTTGATATTGAATAATATTTTAATACTATTTAATTTTAAATTTTTTGTATTAGGACAATTTGTAAGTAGGACATGCGTACTTTTAAAATCAGTTACAAAGACATATAGCTGATAAACTTTTAAAACTGAAAGCTATTTAAATATTTCCGGATATTTTTTATTAAAGTCAACTAAATGTCCAAGCTTGCATCTCACTGAAACACGGAAAAAATCGATGTACCAAAAATCTGTACGCTGTAGAAGAAAATGTTTTAAATAATAAATATAGCTGAAATAATTTTGTACAAAAATTTAACAATAAAATACTGAAAACTTTGTTTTTAAATTTCCACAAAAATTTATTGTAACTTTTATCACTAAAGCGGTTTCGGCTGATTGCCTTTCTCAAGTGATCTATTTTTGGCATGCGTTTACACTTTATAGTCTCTAATGAAATACGTTGAGGAGGGGAGAACTGTTTGTCTCAAGCTGGTCATTCAGAATTATATCTGTGTTTTTTAATTTGTTGATTTCCATATATTCCAACAAGGATAGCTTAAGGCCTTTATTTTGAATGTGAAGAATTTTAAATTCGTCGTTAAAAGAATGATTGTGATCTAGAAGGTGAAGTGCGTATGTAGAATCTGGTTTTCTATTATGGAAAGCCCTTTTATGTTCTGCTATATGTTTGTTAAAGTTTTTACCAGTTTGACCGATGTAAGTTTTTGGGCAGTCGCCACATTTAAGTTTGTACACACCACTGTGTAAGTGCTTTTTATTTTGGCTCTTGTTGTTTTTGATATATTTGCCTAGGTTGTTATTTGTTCGGAAAGCTGGTGCTATTCCTTTCTTTTTTCTGTGTTTGGCTATTTTCGTTGTAATTTTGTCTGTATATGTAATCGAACAGAAGGTACTGGGTTTTTTCTCTGGTGGTGGAAATACTAATTTCTGCCGGCTTTCTTGTGTAGTTTTTGAACATTTTATTAATTGTTTGTTCATTGTATCCGTTGTTTATTGCTATTTGCTTAATTATATTTAATTCTGTCTCAAAGTTGTATCGATATCCTTTAATTAGTGGCCCATCGAAAAAAATCAAAATGCATTTTTAAGGTCGATTCAAAGACATCAGTCCCGTCACAGTCCCGGCGCTGAACCGGTCTTGTCTGGTCACAGAACTATTCATTATCTGACTGCTGGGAAACTGTTCGTCAACTGATGAATGTGAATGCCGGCGGCATATTTCTCTTAAAGAATATTTTGTATGACGGATTATTCGGTTCGGCGCCGGGACTATGACGAGACGTGACTCATGTGTTTGAATCGTCCTTAAAGGTGAAGAGTACAACTTTCGTACGTAATTTTTGTGTACTGGTACAAATAAAGTAATTTTTTATAAATATGTTAAATAAATGATCGATTTTTGCCATTTTTTGCGATCCTCATGAAATCAATAAAATATATCACTTTTTAACTGATACATTTTAAGGTTAAGTTTTGGGAACAAAAATCTGACGCATTTGAAATATGCTTTAAACACACTGAATTTAAAGCTTTCAAAATACAAGCGATCTATAAGTCTAATATTGCTTTTTTTTATTGCACAAAGCAGTTTTTCGAAAATTCTTAACTTCAGCTAAAAATTCTACATAATAATGAGTTTGTGTAGTCATTTCTAGTGACGTTCCATCTTTTGTAATGTAAAATTAAATTTAAATCTCATATTTGTTGCCAAAATTGAAAATCAAAATTTCATGCTATAGGATTTAAAGACTATGCTTGTAACGAAAAATTTTGCCTACCGCATAGGGTATTACTATGGGGGGTTGAAAATTGGGGACATAAGTTATGGGGCTAGAGATAGGGCAAGCAAAATAAACGAAACTGTTGCAAAGGGCACTCAGGGGTTATTTGGAGAGCTGAGCCGTGGATAAGTGAATGACAAAGGGGTTGGATTGGGGAAACTACAAAGATGAAACAAAGGGGTACTTACATGAGTCTCCTGGAGAAATGGGCATACAAAAACAACAAGAAGGACTTCTAGCTATTTATAATGGGACGCCGCTTCGAGGTGCCAATTATAACGATTACAAAAAGTAGTTGTAAACTATTGAAATAATTAATAGAAATGAAAAATATATCTTTTTAAATGAAACTCAAAAAAAGGCTTAGAAAGTTAGTTAAGAGAAATAAACAAAATGGTTTAGGAAAAAAATTAGGCATTTATTGTTGTCTCACCACAAACAGTTACAAAAATAGACAATACAAAAATACTATATTATTAGTCACAAAGGTAAACACAAAAGTAACAAAGAGGAACACTTACTAGGTATGTCCTATTAGTTTACAAACTCTAGGAGTTGGAGATACTACTGGAGATTGTCACTGGGCTATAATTTGTAGCAGAAACAAATTATTACAAATAAAAAATTATCTTTACAAACTCTTTTGAAAGCAATTATTAATAAAATGTTTATTCTTATTTTTCCTTTAGAATTTAATCGCAGAAGTTACCTGGATTGCACTAAAACTTCTGGGGGTAGAAACTAGACTTTACTGAAATTTCTCGGAGTAGAACTGGGTTTACACTTTCTGCCACACGAACAAATTCTCCATATTATAAAAATATTTTGAAACGGCTTCTCAGGACATACAAATTTAAAGTTGAAATTGGGGCACTGGAACACAAACCTTGGGGTTGGTTTCTTAAAATAACAGGAAAAATAGAACATGTGGATATCCTTTAGAACCTCACTTTAATTGCAACTATTAACTGCTCACACCATATTTTTCATAAAAAAGGGACGAAAGACGCGAAAGAATTAAAATTTGACGTAAAATTTGGACTAACACTGAAGTCAACTGTTTCGACAACAGCCTCAGCAAGAGGCGGTTAATTTTGAAAAGTGAATTAACAAAAGTTAAGAGGTAATTCTTAAAAATCATTCGCTTAACTTGGTATAAACAAAACTTATCAACGGAATATTTATTTAAAACGCAGAATATCCTAAAAGCGGCTTTCGATCAAAAAATTATATATAAATATATATATATATATATATATATATATATATATATATATATAATATATATATATATATATATATATATATAGAGTTTGTATATAGAGTTTGTATAACGACGCTAAGAATACAATTCTTTGGAGGGTAACTTTCGGGAAAGCGTCAAAACAAGGATCAGCTAGAGATGGTATAAGCCAGTTTGGTGTAGAACTTTAGTCTAAATGTGAAATTTTCGGTGATATGTTGTCACCTTCATCAGCACCTAAATGGAAAACCTATTTTAGTACAAGTGGTGGAAATTAACATTCAAAACCTACATTGAAAATGTTCAGTTGGTCCTAGAGGTGAAGAACACGTCACAAACATGTTAAAAATATTAAAAAATACATTTAAAAATTTTGAATAAAAACATTACAACACAACAGGGTATTATTTAAAATACAAACACAACAAAAATCTAAAAATTACAACCTACAAAAACTGCAACTTCATGTTAAAGGTAGAAAAGAAGAATTATTCTTCTTTTTTGATGACATATTCTGACTTCTGTCAATATCCGGGTATCATATGCAACGAGGTTATAATTTTCACGTTAGAACCTCCTGATATGGAAAGAAAGAACCCCAGGAAACACAATCAGCAGGGAAATGAAGTCTTTGCTCAAGTACAGGTAGGCAATCTATGCATGTTATGATAAGTTCCCTACATTCTCCAGTTTGTTACATCTTGTCAAGTCCTGTTGAAGTTGAAAGGAATAAATACAACTTAAGTTTTCAACATCTTTCTTACAGTTCATAGAAGAACTGCAGTTATGGATGTAGCACATTCTATGAAGTTTCTCTTAAATTATTTGTCAACCCTCTTTAGTACTTGCACATTTTCATAGTTAGCAATGTGTCCAGTATTCTTAATATGTTGGCTAAAGGCTGTGCAGGTAGGCTTCCTCACTACTTCCACTTCCTTACACTTCCTCACATCACTCTTGTGCAAAGCTAGTCTTTTTGAGCTATATATATATATATATATATATATTATATATATATATATCGCAAAAAGGAGTACGACCGTCTATCCAATATATAATAAGGATCACTCAGACGAGTGGTGGGTTCAAATATCGGTCTACTAGGTGGAGAAATAAAAGACAAAGTTGATACTACTTTATCTATTTTGAAGACGTTTCGCTATCGAATTCTGATAGCATCATCAGTTCACCTAAAAATTTTTACATTATGAGTACCACACATTCATGAAGAAGATGTTAAATGTTATCTTTAATATAAGTATCTTTTTAAAGGTAACATTTAACATCTTCTTCATGAATGTGTGGTACTCATAATGTAAAAATTTTTAGATGAACTGATGATGCTATCAGAATTCGATAGCGAAACATCTTCAAATCGATGAAGTAGTATCAACTTTGTCTTTTATTTCTCCACCTAGTAGACCGTTATTTGAACCCACCACTCGTCTGAGTGATCCTTATTATATATATATATATATATTTATATATATATATATATATATATATATAATATATATTTAATATATTTTTTTGTTAAAAATCATATTTTTACAATTTTAGGTCTTGGCTGCGGAACCGAAGGATGGCCCGGAATATATACAAATATTTCATATTTTCTTCCGTGGATTAAAGAGAAGATTTTTGAAAATAGCCTTGCAAATACAAAGAATCCTAACAAGGGAGTCAAAATATCGAACAGAAACAAACACGCACATTAGAGGAAGACTATTTATCCATTTTTATACAAAAAAATAAATAAATAAATAAAACCATGAGAAGTATTTTATTTAAGTTTTATGTTTCCTTTTCAAGTGTGTTTCTTGTTCAAGTGTTTCTGGCTTCTTGGTATGTTTAAGTTAAATATTATGTCAGAAAGACGATATTAGGTCTTATTTCGATTCAGGGCATCTGCAAGCCGCTTATACGTATTTCATATTTCACATCTTTTTTGGTGTCATCAGAGCGACATATATGCAGTTCCTCTAAGTCTAAACAAAATCTCCCCCGTCATAGGACAATAATTATAAAAATAATTATTTACAGATGTTACAACGCCCTCTAATAAAAAACACTAGGAATCCTAAGATTTCCTACTTGGTGAAACTAAATTCAAATATTTACTACTGTGCTTTCTACAACTTGCAACGCAGGCAGATTGATAAATCAGTCGGCAATAAAATCTATAATTTGCATTCCACATTCATCACGGTAAAAATTCGTAGTGAATTTAGTTTCTGGTACTTGAAACAGAGTCTTCTTCTTTTGGTGCTTATTCGTTTCGAATGTTGGCGATCATTCTGGCTATTCGCTAATCATTGCTAATTATCATCGAATATTTAAAGTATAAAATTTATCTGGTACGCCCCTGGGCCATGTAAAAAAAATTTCGTCTTTGTTTACACTCCAAAATCCAGTTAACACTGCTAAGTTAAATAATTCGTATTTTACGTTTAATATATCCTATATTAAATCCATATTCACACATATATTTATAAGGATAATAAAATTCACATGGAGAAAAAATATTAGTTTCGCATTATAGCTAAAATATTGACAGACAAATGTTTTTTAAAACTTCTATAACACTGCTCCGGTTTTAGCTTTATAGAAAAGACGCTGGTCATTTATATGGGTCTAGTCGAAGAAACTGAAAACTTCAGTTTTATAGACTAAAACGTTCGAAATTGTTTAGAAAACTGGATTTTTCAGCTTTATAGAAAAGAGAGCGGATACATCGAATTTCATTAGTCTAAGAAGCACTACTTAGCTAAGTAGCTCGTTTCTTACCTAAAATACTGATTCTCAAAGAAATTATAACAGATATAACATTCACATTTAATAAGTTATGATTAAACCATTCGACAATTTCCGCAGCAGGAATCATTATCTTTGGTTCGTGAAATATGCTAAAAATAAAATTCAATGAGATAACAGTATATTCATAAAATTATGACTTATGATAAGGGGACAGTCTCATGCGAAACTTTCAAAAATTAATTTTATTTTTTTTATAAATCGCTTCCATATACATTCAAAACCTCCCTCCTAAAATTTTAAAAAGAAATTCCCACTAGAATATAAGTTATAGTTATTTTATTAACGTCATCTACGCACATATGAAAACCGGTTTCTCTCCGCGCGGGCGAGCGCGAGGCTCCAGCTGTTCTTGCTTTTGTATATGTTGTATATAAGTTGGGTATGTATTAGTGATTAATTTTCATATAGTATGTATATCTGTATAACGTTTGGCGTTTACTATACACATTTAGATTTGGAATTTTAAATCCGGAACATAGGATTTTTTTACAAATAATAAGATTCTCTGCGTTGCAATTAACCAGTGTAAATTTATTTTGTTCCACTGGATTACTTCTCCTTAGCGGTTTATAGTAGCGTATATTGCACGCCGACGGTGTTGCTTCCGTCTACCGATTTTTCCTGAAAGTCTGGTTTGTGCAGATATAAATAATGTTTTATTAGCATCAATTTTGTTTGTGTTCATTAGGTATTATTTGAGTTATAAAATTTATACTTAAATACATTTATTATTCCAAATATTGTTTTATAATTTCAAATTAAAAAGAGTGTAATATAATTATTTTATTTTTAAAATTCCTTTTTATTTTTTATTTTAGAAATCAACTTTTTTTTCAAGCCGTTTTTGGCAATAAAACATAACCATTTTTTTAGTTATAAAATATTTTCATATCTACATTTATAAATAAGTACGTTTTCGTTGAATTAACATGCGATCTAGGTGTGTTCCGTTTTTACACTTACACTGGCAGCATCGCGGCGTGAATTGAGACTCCAGTCGAACATGAACAAATGAATTAATTATAAAACATCGCGACGTTGTATTGAAATTTACAACTTTACAAAGCCATTTACAACAACTGTTGGATGAAGAGAGTCCTCAATATTCACCAGGAATGGCCGATTAAACGTGAGTATAGAGTTATCAGCCTTTTATTCACGAAAATTATGTAAAAAAAACTTTAAATGCTTTTTCTCAAAAGTAACATTTTAAAACTGGTCAGACACTTTTCTCCGAACCTTCTAAACCGATTTTAAAAAACCAAAAATTTTTCGAATGTACATATAAAATACTAGATGATAAACCTTTAAAATATTTAAAAACCACCCCCCTTTTATTATATATGGGTAAATTCCACCGAAAAATATAGCGATTTTTCGACTTTTTTGAAAAAAATCGTATAAACTCTTCAATACAATTTGCATATTTTAAAGTTTATCATCTAGTTTTGAGTCTCACGAATACTGAATTTTGAATTTTTTGAATATCTGTTACAGGTGACCCACAAAGTGTCTTTTACTACACGCCATCTACAGGACACCAATGAAGTTAAAATCGTTATTAAAATTTTTTTATGTACTTCAAGACTTACTTAATCATCTACAAAAGAATTATGTTAATAAATATTATAGTTTTTTTTCTGTTTTAATTTTAAAATGTGTCTTTTTTTTAATCGCATGAGACAAAGTTCTTTCCATATATCGTACTTGATTTAATTGACTTCTTGCACTTCTTTAATAGAAAATTAACACACTACAAATATATTACCTATTATAAAAAAGAATGTATCGATTTTTTATTATTAGTTTTTTAGCAGGTGAATTCCCGCTATGTGAACATTTGTTTAAGGGTACTTATGTATTTTAAGCCACCAATAACTAATTTTACTTATTAATCCTAATAAAGAGCACAAAGAAGACGAACCATATAAAGGAGTTATTACCCATTTGAAAAATAATAAGCATCAGTTAAAACAGATTCGAGAACGAAGATCAAAGCATCGAATTTCCATCAAGTATCATCTTCAAAGCCTTTTTTCAATCCATCCGAAACCCGACGGAACGAAGTAGTCACCAGAGTACCAGTTTCATTCGATTTATTTAAATGCCAAAGAAAGAAGATTATCATCCAGACTCTCTCCAGCCCAATCCAGTTACAGACCGGATAACATAGAGATACATTTGTAATTTTTTGGTTATTGTATATTATAATAATTACAAACCTATTAGAATATTTGGTGTACGTTTTATTTTGTGGGAGCACTTTGTGTTATTGTATGGCAGATTAGCAATTGCAAAAACGTTGTAGGTAATTGTTTTTCTCAGTTTTCCATATCCTGCTAAATGCTAAACTCTCGAGAAACAAATGAGTCAATATTAAGACAACCAAACATAAATATAAGACCAAGGAGGCAAGTAATAAAACAAATATTATAGTTCGGTTTATTTCGACTTAGATTTTGGAAGACACAATCTCGAAAAACTTGCAATGGCCCAAGGTAGAAGAGGTAGAGGGAGATTTCCTAGAAGATTCAGTTAATTTTTTTTACTATTTAATGGAATAAAATCGAGAAGATTAACTTACGGTGTAACCAGATCACAATATTAAAACATATTATTGATTCAGAATATTATTGTGTCGTTTATCGATGGCTCGTTCTATACTGTGTCCAATTAAGTTGGCATCATATAGGAAAGTTTTTTATTATTAATTTAACGAAAAAAAGTTACTCTTTATAAAAAGTTTTTCATAGTTTAAAACCTATGCAATCATCAGATATCACATTTTATTAATTTTATACGAGGCATGTCAAAAAATACGAATTTCATACAAAAGTAAAGTATCTATATCTTTCCTAATATCGAAAATTTTTAGAATAAAAAGTTGTTTGGAATTAAAAACTGTTTTCTTCTTCTTTCAGTGCCTATTCGTTCCGAATATTGGCAATCATTCTGGCTATAATTATTTTATTGACTGATGCTTTAAATAGATTCGTTGTTGTTGTGGAAAACCATTTCCTCAGGTTCTTCAACCATGATATTCTCCTTCTCCCAATTCCTCGCTTTCCGAATACTTTACCCTGTAGGATTACCTTCAGTAATCTGTATTTAGTGCTGTTTCTCATTATATGTCCGAGATATTCCAACTTTCTCCTTTTAATGGTATACATCACCTCTCTTTCTTTGCCCACTCTTCGTAATACGGTCTCGTTGGTTATCTTGTCTGTCCATGATATCCTTAGAATTCGCCTGTATAGCCACATCTCGAAGGCTTCAAGTTTTTTCTCCATTGCTTCAGTTAGTGTCCAGGATTCAACTCCGTAATACAATATTGAGAAGATATAACATCGTAGGAGCCTTACTTTTATCTCCAGATTAAGATTGTGGCTTTTAAAGAGTTTGGCCATGTTATTGAATGCACTCCTAGCCTTCTCTATTCTACATTTTATTTCCTGTGAGTGATCCCATTGTTCATTTACTGTTGTTCCAAGATAGTTATACTGTTTTACTCGGTCCACTGGTGTATTATTGATAAGTAGTTGAGCGTCTCTAACTTTATTTTTGCTGATGATCATAAATTTAGTTTTTGTTATATTTACTTGAAGTCCAAATCTTTCACTTACTTCATTTACTTTGTTTATTAGTTGCTGTAAACCGTTCAAACTGTCTGCAAAAATAACGGTGTCGTCTGCATAACGAATGTTGTTTAGGCGTTCTCCATTTAGAAGTATTCCATGTTCGCATTTTTCCAAGGCTTCACTAAATATTTCCTCTGAATATAGATTAAATAATATAGGTGAAAGTATACAACCTTGTCTAACGCCTCGTAGAATCTGGATCATTTCCGTTGGTTCACCTCCAAAATTCGTTCTTATTGTGGCTGATTGGTTCCAGTATAAATTTTGTATTATACGCCGATCTTTATCATCCATTTGGGCTTTTGTTAGAATATC